GTAAGATGATGGCTTTAACTGTAACTACTTCATTAATGAGACATCTCAGCATCTAAAACCCCAACTGTCTATTCCTCTTTTATTATGGCAGACCTACTCTGGGCTCTTCTGTGTGACTGTCAACCCCTACAAGTGGCTGCCAGTCTACAACCAAGAGGTGGTTGTTGCCTACAGAGGAAAGAAGAGGAGTGAAGCTCCTCCTCATATCTTCTCAATCTCTGACAATGCCTACCAGTACATGCTGGCAGGTAAAACGTCTACTTAAGCCTTAATTTTATTCAAAAGCTCTAATGTCATTACGTTTTTTACTTATACATTTGACAATTTTTTTGAAAATCTCTTCTTCTCACAGACAGAGAAAACCAGTCGATCCTCATCACGTAAGTCACGTTGCCAAGAAAAAAAAAATCTCTCCAGTAGTTAAGGGTCATGGATCTTAGACTAAAACTTTCTGTCTCTCTTTCAGTGGAGAATCTGGTGCTGGAAAGACTGTAAACACCAAGCGTGTCATTCAGTACTTTGCCAGCATTGCTGCTGCTCCAGGTGCGAAGAAAGACCAAGCTGCTGAAAAGAAGGTGTGTATTACATACATATTTCTTAATATAATACAATAAAAAAATCAATTGTAAATTATTTAGTTTAAATAAGTTAGTAAGTCGAGTTCTCTTTCATAAAGCTTTTCAAAAATGGCTGTAAACCTGAAGTGTCTTTGTTTGATGAACTCAGGGTACCCTGGAGGATCAAATCATTCAGGCTAACCCTGCTCTAGAGGCCTTTGGGAATGCCAAGACCATCAGGAATGACAACTCCTCCAGATTTGTGAGTGTCTGTGTGACTGCAGTGAGGCTACTTGATTATCACTGAAGGTTATTTTTTCATATTAGAAATATAAATGAACACTACTTTTCCTCTTAGGGTAAATTTATCAGAATTCATTTTGACAACCGAGGAAAGCTGGCCTCTGCTGACATCGAAACATGTAAGTGAAACTAAATACATCTCTACATCCATTTTCTAGGGCACCTATTCATTTTATAACTTGTGGTGCTAGAACCAATGAAAGTATGTGAGAGACTAGTGACAGGATTTCAGACTATCACAGAGCTAACACACATACTAAAGGAACACACAAATACACACTCACATTCAAACCTATGGGAGATTTTGAGTCACCAGTTTGCCTAACCTGCACATAGGAAATCAGAGTAACCAAAGAAAGTCGCACAGAGACTAGGGGAATGTACAGACACACAGAAAGGCTATTGCAAATTTGAACCCAGGAGCTTAATGCTAACCTCTGAACCAATGTGCCAATAAAACACAATTAACAAAAAGTATTTAAATGTTTGATCACATTAAATTGTGGCAGTTCTGACCATTTTGTTTTAGAAAATGTGTTATTTCTGTACAAAACTGTTAAATTTGTATAGTTGCATGATGCTGAGTGTAAGATTCTTGTAATTAAAGTTAAACCCATGCCTATTATGCAAATTATTTTATACTGAAACACAGTAACATTAATTATACCTCTAACAGACCTCCTGGAGAAGTCTCGTGTGACCTATCAGCTTAAAGCTGAGCGGGACTACCACATTTTCTACCAGATCTTGTCTCAGCAAAAACCAGAACTTCTGGGTAAGTGTACAATATAGATAGAATCACAATGTTTATTTACAATAACTGGTAGAAAATTGTTGCATCACATACATAAAATCAAACATTGCTAAACAAACACTGCCTCAATTATTTAGTTTTTAAACATCTAGAAAAAGACCACCAAAAAAGACAAATTAAATAAAGGTTAAGCGCATGCTATATTATAGAATATTTTCACTGCGTTACCTCTCTGTTAAATGGCCTTTTCCAAAAGGAAACTGAAGCTGTTATATCAAAGCAACCAAAATCCATTCACAAAAGCAGTAATTTAACTTAGCAGAACACTGAGTTGCTGGTCTACTGCGGGGTCAGTTGGTTCGTGTGTAAGGTAAAGCGGAGCAAATCTCAAATACAGTGTACACTTACACTGATTCTAAGTTTTTGGTGGCTAAATACATTTAATTGCGGCCCTGTCCACAGCAGTACATTGCTTGTTTTCAGTACTGGTAGATTTGGTTTATCCAAGGTGATTACACTGCAACAAAGTACATACAATAGGCACAGCAGAAACATCAGATAGGTCACACCACAGTGTTTAACTATATACTATTTTCAGGGGCGTCGGTGGCTTAGTGGTAGAGCAGGTGCCCCATGTACAAGGCTGTTGCCGCAGCGGCCCGGGTTCAACTCCAGCTTGTGGCCCTTTGCTGCATGTCACTCCCCCTTTCTGTCCCCCCCCTCACGCTCATCTGTCCTATCAATTAAAAGCCTAAAAATGCCCCAAAAAATATCTTAAAAACAAACAAACAAAAAAAAACTATATATTTTCAAATGTTAGAGCTATGGCTGAAAATGATGACAGAAATCATCAAGTTTGCTGATTTTACATATCTCCATAATTCTAATTAACTGCCAGTGTTCTACCTGTAAGTGATTGTTGTTGTTGAGGCAACATCAAAGTGATTTGGGCTATACATGTGACATACGGTTATTATTACCATGCTGTACTACTGTATGCATTCTATCATAAAATAAATATTTTCTTTTTTGTGACTGTAATATTAGACATGTTGCTCATCACCAACAACCCCTATGACTACGCCTTCATCTCCCAAGGAGAGACGACAGTAGCCTCTATCAATGATTCTGAAGAGCTGATGGCCACTGATGTGAGCTGAATTTTTGACTGACAAAAGCAACATTTTAATCAAACATCAATTTAGATCAAAATAAGAAAATATCATAATTATTTATTTTTCTTTTATTCAGGACGCCTTTGATGTGCTGGGCTTCACTCAAGAAGAGAAGAACAGTATTTACAAGCTGACTGGTGCCATCATGCACTATGGTAACATGAAGTTTAAGCAGAAGCAGCGAGAAGAGCAGGCAGAAGCTGATGGCACTGAAGGTGAGAGAGGCTGTGATATGTAGATGGCTATTATTATATAATATATAATACAAAATGTAACATATTATTATCATCATCATTATTATTAATATTATTATTATTATTTAAGATTTGGTGCAACATAGATCCAGACTCCTAGCCGTTCCTGAGACACAATAATATGATAAAAATAAAACTTTTCAAATGATTATGTTTTTGCTCACTGCACTCACGTACCTGTTTATTAGTTACAATATGCTAAAACTAATGCAGTGTAATACTACAGTCTAGCGATAAATGTCAGGTTAAAGAGGCAGAGCCTTATGCATATGAGACTGATGCATATCTTAACTTTCTCAGTTGCTGACAAAGTTGCATATCTGATGGGCCTGAACTCTGCTGACCTCATCAAAGGTCTCTGTCACCCAAGAGTCAAAGTAGGAAATGAGTGGGTCACCAAGGGACAAAATGTCGCTCAGGTAATTACTTGAGGGAACCTTTTGAGGATAGCTTAATTTAAGAAAAAGTTAAGTTTATAAAGATGTTACTAATGGTCCTTTCCCCAGGTGTACTATGCTGTCGGTGCACTGTCTAAGGCAGTATATGAGAAGATGTTCCTGTGGATGGTGGTGAGAATTAACCAGTCCCTGGACACCAAGCAGCCCCGTCAGTACTTTATTGGTGTACTGGACATTGCTGGATTTGAGATCTTTGATGTGAGTTTTGAATGGAATACACAACTAATAAACATGGGTAAACATGTTTGTTTAACATTTTTATTCCTGAGGTAATTTTGCTTACTATCAATGTAATTACAGTTCAACACCTTTGAGCAGCTGTGCATCAACTTCACCAATGAAAAACTGCAACAGTTTTTCAACCACCACATGTTTGTGCTGGAGCAGGAAGAGTACAAGAAAGAGGGCATTGAATGGACTTTCATAGATTTTGGGATGGACTTGCAGGCCTGCATTGACCTGATTGAAAAGGTGAGATACTGGACTATTACATGTCCAGACAAACATAAAGATTGACTGAAAATATTGTAACTGTTTTCAACCACTCATATTTTTGTCCCCTCAGCCCATGGGTATCATGTCCATCCTTGAAGAGGAGTGCATGTTCCCCAAAGCATCTGATACCACCTTTAAAGCTAAGCTCTATGACAACCATCTGGGGAAATCTGGTAACTTTCAGAAGCCCAGAATTGTCAAAGGGAAACCAGAGGCCCATTTAACCCTGATACAATATGCTGGAACTGTTGATTATAATATCAACAACTGGCTAGTGAAGAACAAGGATCCTCTGAATGAGACCGTTGTTGGACTCTTCCAGAAGTCTACTCTCAAGCTGTTAGCTACCCTCTTTGCAAATTATGCAGGAGCTGAGTCAGGTATGTTGACACTCACTACTTATAATTAATGTAAATATACTAAAACATACAGTAATGGTTGACAATGGTGAACATCTTAATACAGATTCAATCACTGAACAGTTTTTGTACATCTTTCTGTCAATGAAATGTGAGTGATTATAATTTTTTATATAGCTGATTCTGGTGGGAAAGGCAAAGGTGGCAGCAAGAAGAAAGGTTCATCCTTCCAAACAGTATCAGCTTTGCACAGGGTAAAATATTTATCGTTTTTTTTTTCATTCACATGTTCAAGTAGTGGTTATGTGTCCAAGTTAGAAGGAGTTTAATTCTGCACACTTCACATGTAGGTTCAAGGTTTTTGTAAACAGCATAGATGAAAAGGGTATCTAAGCAAACCAAGACAGAAAAGTTAATAATTTACCAACAGTACTGTGTACATACTTTCCCATGGCTATGATACAGTTACCGAGTTCTGCTAACATATTGGATTAAATCATCTGGGTATACATTTGTCTTTTAAAATACAGTCTTTTTGAAGTTATCGTGTCAAACGCAACAAAAACATAAAGTGTGTTCAAAGTTATGCATTAAAACTTGCAGGAGAACCTGAACAAGCTGATGACCAACTTGAGGTCAACTCACCCTCACTTTGTACGCTGCATCATCCCCAATGAGACCAAGACTCCTGGGGCCATGGAGAACCCTCTGGTGATGCACCAGCTACGCTGTAACGGTGTGCTGGAAGGCATCAGGATCTGCAGAAAGGGCTTCCCAAACAGGATTCTCTATGGAGACTTCAAACAGAGGTTGACATGTGATTGACAAACCCAAATTTATAACTACCAGTGACAGTGAATGTCTTGTCTAAATTGTTGTGGTATTATTATATGTTGTTATTTTTTTTTTTTACAACATCCTACATATTTTATTTGTTGTATTTGTGTCAGATACCGTATTTTGAACCCTAATGCAATTCCTGAGGGACAATTCATCGACAACAAGAAGGCTGCTGAGAAACTGTTAGGTTCTCTGGATATTGACCATAACCAATACAAACTGGGGCACACCAAGGTCGGTATTATATATACAAAATGCATTTTTCATAACATACACTGTATGTTACAACTGAATATCTAATTTGCCTAAAATAAAAAAGGTGTTCTTCAAAGCTGGACTGTTGGGTCTGCTGGAGGAAATGCGAGATGACCGACTAGCACTAATCATCACTGGCATCCAAGCCCGGTCAAGAGGACTTCTGGCGAGAATTGAATTCCAGAAGATTGTTGAACGCAGGTAACTGCTCACAGCAAGGCCCAAATCTGTAAGTCAGCTCAAATCAAGTCAGTTTTATTCATAAAGCTCAAGGAGCTTTACAGTCTGTAAATCTTGCGACATCCTCTATCCTTAGACCCTTAACTCGTATCTGGGAAAACTTCAAGAAAAACCTATCAACCTATAAGAAAATATTAAGGAACCATATCCACACAAAAAGCAGTACCTCAAAATGGACATGCGCTCTTCCTTACGTACACAAACCAAACAGTACAACTGCCATTGAACCAAATATCAAACATGGGAGAGCACTGTGAGGGGTGGGAATAGATTTAGGTCATATTGAAAAAGACAGTTCTGCAATCAGGTTAAAACTGGATTTATTTGTTTCATTTTGTACATGTTAATGTGAGGATATGAAAACATGAGCGTATTTAGGAAATGTGGGTATCTAATTTGGGCATATGTACACATTGCTGTTCTCACGTGTTGTGTTTGTTATTTCTCAATGAAAAGAGGTAGTAAAAAAAAAAATCATGGATTTATCCCTGCTGGAAATGGCTTTATGATCAACTTTTTGTTGTCTACAGGGACGCACTACTTGTGATCCAGTGGAACATCCGTGCCTTCATGGGGGTCAAAAATTGGCCCTGGATGAAGATGTACTTCAAGATTAAACCCCTATTGAAATCAGCAGAGACTGAAAAGGAGATGGCCACCATGAAGGAAGAGTTTGCCAAACTAAAAGAGGCTTACGCAAAATCTGAAGCTCGCAAAAAGGAACTGGAAGAAAAAATGGTCTCTCTTCTCCAAGAGAAGAATGACCTGCAGCTTCAAGTTCAATCTGTATGTTCACAATCTGTCAGCATTAGAAAAAATATTAAACTAAAACCAAGTCTGCCAGTGTTTAATGCTGTGCCTTTTAAATAACAGGAGCAAGATAATCTGTGTGATGCTGAGGAAAGATGTGAGGGGCTGATTAAGAGCAAGATCCAGCTGGAGGCAAAAATCAAAGAGCAGTCAGAAAGACTAGAGGATGAGGAGGAGTTGAATGCTGAACTGACTGCTAAGAAGAGGAAATTAGAGGATGAGTGCTCTGAGCTGAAGAAAGACATTGATGACTTAGAGTTAACTCTGGCCAAAGTGGAGAAAGAGAAGCACGCTACTGAGAACAAGGTACCACAAACACTAATTGTTGTGAAATTAACAACAAAACAACTCACTTGTGTTGAAGTCCTTGATTAAAAAAAATCCTCTGGCCATAGGTTAAGAACCTGACTGAGGAGATGGCTGCTTTGGATGAAATCATTGCTAAGTTGACAAAGGAAAAGAAAGCCTTACAGGAAGCTCATCAGCAAACACTGGATGACCTGCAGAGTGAAGAAGACAAAGTCAACACTCTGACGAAGGCCAAGGTTAAGCTGGAGCAGCAAGTGGATGATGTAAGAATTTACAAGATCAGATGCATTTGTTTTTAACATGTAAAATAATGGCTTGATAAAAAGTTAGTCATTACCACCCACAGCTTGAAGGGTCCCTGGAGCAAGAGAAGAAAGTGCGTATGGATCTTGAGAGAGCAAAGCGGAAGCTTGAGGGAGACCTAAAGTTAACTCAAGAGAGTCTCATGGACCTGGAAAATGACAAGCAGCAACTCGAAGAGAGGCTGAAAAAGTAACATAAATTTTGCTCTATAAAAATAAAAACAGATATTAAAATATGTATCAGCAGGTACGTGTCAATTTATTCTTTTTTATCCACAGGAAAGATTTTGAAATCAGCCAACTCAATGGTAAAATAGAAGATGAACAAGTGATGAGTGCCCAGCTCCAGAAAAAATTGAAGGAGTTACAGGTAATAATTTAAATAGGATAAAGAAACTTGATTAAGATGGTGCATGGACATGGAATTTCAAAACAATGATTCATAGTTCAGTCAAAATCCAAAAATTCCATTAAGGGTTTTGCTTTCATTTTGGTCTAGGCCCGCATCGAGGAGCTGGAGGAAGAGCTTGAGGCAGAACGAGCTGCCCGAGCAAAGGTGGAGAAGCAGAGAGCAGACTTGTCCAGAGAGCTGGAGGAGATCAGTGAGAGGTTGGAGGAGGCTGGTGGAGCAACATCTGCCCAGATTGAGATGAACAAGAAGAGGGAGGCTGAGTTCCAGAAACTCCGCAGAGACCTTGAAGAGGCCACTCTGCAGCATGAAGCCACTGCTGCCACTCTCAGGAAGAAACAAGCTGACAGTGTTGCTGATCTGGGAGAGCAGATCGACAACCTGCAGAGAGTCAAGCAGAAACTGGAGAAGGAGAAGAGTGAGCTCAGACTGGAGCTGGATGATGTCGTCTCCAATATGGAGCAGATTGTTAAGGCAAAGGTAACTCTTGTTTAATCCCTTTTCTGCCTACTGGTTGATGAACATTTTATTTTGTTAGTCTAAACCACCTTTTATATTTTTGAGGTAGGTCATGTGCCAGTGTTAATGTTTTTTATTTCCAGAACAATTTGGAGAAAATGTGCCGGTCTCTGGAAGACCAGATGAATGAATATAAAACAAGGGCAGAGGAAGGACAGCGTGCCATCAATGACTTCACCATGCAGAAAGCAAAGCTTCAGACTGAGAATGGTATGCATTTGATTTAAGCAGTGTGTTTTGTGTGGGATATAATGAAGTACTCATTTGGATCTTCCATCAAAATTAGGTGAACTTTCAAGGCGGCTTGAGGAAAAGGATTCCCTGGTGTCTCAACTAACCAGAGGAAAACAGTCCTACACTCAACAACTTGAAGACCTAAAAAGACAGCTAGAGGAGGAAGTCAAGGTAGCAACCAAATACAAGTGAGAACTTGTTACAGATGTTGGTATAAAGATGCACTGAGATATGCTTTCATTTCAGGCCAAGAATGCTTTAGCCCATGCAGTGCAGTCTGCACGTCATGACTGTGACCTGCTCAGGGAGCAGTATGAGGAGGAGCAGGAGGCCAAGGCTGAACTTCAGCGCAGCATGTCCAAGGCCAACTCTGAGGTGGCTCAGTGGAGAACTAAGTACGAAACTGATGCCATCCAGAGAACTGAGGAACTGGAGGAGGCTAAGTGAGTAAAAATGTATTTTCACTCCAACAATTTGGCAAAGTTTAAAAGCAATTAACCATGAATGAATTCTGTCATAATGCAGAAAGAAGATGGCTCAGCGTCTGCAGGAGGCCGAGGAGGCTGTAGAAGCAGTGAATGCTAAATGTTCCTCTCTGGAAAAGACCAAACACAGGCTGCAGAATGAGATTGAAGATCTCATGGTGGATGTGGAGAGGTCTAATGCTGCTGCTGCTGCTCTGGACAAGAAGCAAAGAAACTTTGACAAGGTTAAATTTAAAAATCATTTGGCACTTTTACTCTTTCAGTTGAAGAATGACAGTGTAAATGACCTTGAAGCACAAATATTTCAGATCTTGGCAGAATGGAAACAGAAGTATGAAGAGTCTCAAACAGAGCTGGAGAGCTCTCAGAAGGAAGCCAGGTCTCTGAGCACTGAGCTCTTCAAACTAAAGAACTCCTATGAAGAATCTCTTGAACATCTGGAGACCATGAAGAGAGAGAATAAGAATCTGCAGGGTAAGGGTGACACCAGCTCACGCCTCCATTGAAGAATTTGTTGTCATGAGTAAACCAGTGATAATGTTACATTTTGTTTCTCAGAGGAAATATCTGACCTCACTGAGCAAATTGGTGAGAGTGGAAAGAGCATTCATGAACTTGAGAAGATTCGAAAACAATTGGAACAAGAGAAGTCTGAGATACAAACAGCCCTGGAGGAAGCAGAGGTGTGATGAATTCAAAGTGCTCATGGTGAACCTTAAGAACATTTTTTAATATTGGTAATAACTTGAAATATATTTCATTTTCATTCTTATTTCATGACAGGCCTCACTGGAGCATGAGGAAGGCAAGATTCTCAGAGCCCAGCTTGAGTTTAACCAGATTAAGGCTGATATTGAGCGCAAGCTGTCTGAAAAAGATGAAGAGATGGAGCAAACAAAGAGAAACCAACAGCGTATGGTGGATACTCTTCAGAGCTCTCTTGAGGCCGAGACTCGAAGCAGGAATGAGGCCCTCCGTTTGAAGAAGAAGATGGAGGGAGACCTCAATGAGATGGAGATTCAGCTGAGCCAGGCCAACAGGCAGGCAGCTGAGGCTCAGAAACAACTTAAGGCTGTTCATGCACATCTGAAGGTTTGCATTTTTTTTTTAAAGAACACCTTGGACATAGTATGTTATTAATTGATTTACCTTGCTTCACAATAATTGTTCCACTCTTCCAGGATGCTCAACTCCAGCTTGATGACTCTCTTCGAGCCAATGATGATCTAAAGGAAAACAGTGCCATCGTTGAGAGACGCAACAACCTACTTCTGGCCGAAGTGGAGGAGCTCAGGGGTGCTCTGGAGCAAGCTGAGAGAAGTCGCAAACTTGCTGAGCAAGAGCTGCTGGACGTTAGTGAAAGAGTGCAGCTACTGCACTCACAGGTGAGATGCAGCAATCATCAATACATTCTACTGTGTTTGTTTTACATTCATTGTTTTCACAATGGAAATACCACTATTAATTATTAACTTTGTCAAATTAGAATACTAGTCTGATAAATCAAAAGAAGAAGCTGGAGGCTGATACTGCACAGCTTCAGACTGAAGTAGAAGAAGCAATACAAGAGTGCAGAAATGCTGAAGAAAAGGCCAAGAAGGCCATTACTGATGCTGCCATGATGGCAGAGGAGCTGAAGAAAGAGCAGGACACCAGTGCTCACCTGGAGCGTATGAAGAAGAACATGGAGCAAACCATCAAAGACCTGCAGCACCGTCTGGATGAAGCTGAACAGATTGCAATGAAGGGAGGCAAGAAGCAGTTGCAGAAGCTCGAGGCCAGGGTGAGTGTAAATAATTTAAAGTGAACAACCTAATTAAAATACTGAATCATCAAAATCAGACTATATCATAGATCTTCGAACTGTTTTTCCTCACAATCAAAAAGCCTACACAAAAATATGAAATATAAAAAACTCAATCTTCAAATCATTTCCTTCACAGATCAAAGAACTGGAATGTGAAGTAGAGGCTGAACAAAGAAAGTCCAGCGATGCTGTCAAGGGAATACGAAAATATGAGAGACGAATCAAAGAGTTGACTTACCAGGCAAGTTTTAACTCATTTACAAAATTGTGTAACACTGAAAGTGTAATTTCTATTAGAACTACAAGTCTTTGGTCTTTTGTTGTTTTCAGACAGAGGAGGATCGTAAGAATCTTGCCCGTCTGCAAGATCTGGTAGACAAGCTACAGCTAAAGGTCAAATCCTACAAGAGAGCTGCAGAGGAAGCTGTAAGTACTCTTAGTATTTTAGAGAGACTAATAGAGAAAAAAAAGCATTAAAACTGTCAAAGCTTATTGTGTGTGCTTATTTCCTGATCAAGACAGTGAGAGCTATGTGGTAGAGCTAGACACTACGGCCAAAACAAGCATTTTCTTATCAGCATAAGGATAGAGTTGACTGATAAGCCCTTGATAAACCGCATTAGATTTGCACAGTCCAGTACAAACATTCTGTCAATTAACACTGATAAATAATCTTAAACATAATTGATTATTATATGAAAATGCAATTGAAAAAACTATTGTCAGCAGTAAAGTTTCATAACATCAACAACATAAGTGCAGTAAAGTCAAGCACTAATAAGGATATTGCATTTCTGTTTCACAGGAGGAACAGGCCAACAGTAATCTTACCAAGTTTCGTAAGATTCAACATGAGCTTGATGAAGCTGAAGAGAGAGCTGATATCGCTGAGTCTCAGGTCAACAAGCTACGTGCCAAGAGCCGTGATGTGGGGTCAAAGGTCAGTTATTGATTTTTATCCTGTTTTATGTCAGGAACTCTACATGTGCCTGTTTTGTGCCCATTCAGAGTTAAAGTAAATACAGTGCTGTTGCAATCAGGATGATGTGTTATGAATAAAATATATAATGATTTATCACATGAAATGCATTGGGATCACAAATAAAACACTAAAGCCGTTTCCACCAAAAACCTTTGGTATCGTACCTTTAGAACCAAAAGTAACCCCTACCGATACACTGTAGATCCATTAAGCGTTTCCACCACAGACAGTACTCTGAAATATGGGCAGGGTTATTACTCACAGCTCCGTCCAGCTTCTGCTGTATGTCTTCTTCATTTGTGATACAGAGGGATGTCTGCACCTTGTTATTGTCCACAGGACAGGGTTGGCGCACCGACATCTTTAGAAAAAAAAAGAAAGTTAAAGAGTTAAAGTCTCTTCATGGGATATTTAAATATAGTGGGTTTGTGCACTATAGTGGAGTTGAGTTTTTTTCTCCAGATGAGGATTAGAGTATATGTCGGTTGTAATACATATACATTTTTTAAACACTTAAAGATCCAATCCTAAAGCATATGTCATCCAAGAGAGCCAACAAAAACAAATGGAATGGTCTGAGTTGTCATATTTAAGCTGAGTTGACTGACTGCATTGAGCAGCATTACAAGTAAAGGTTCCACCATCAAAGCTGCCAGTAGCTGCCCGCAGTCAACACAGCGACTTATTTATTTTTTCTCGGTCTATGGCTGCTGCACGAGGCAGCAAAACATCCTTTCATTTTATAGTTAAAGTTTACCAATGTATGAAAAACTTGCCATGGCATGAACAGTGGTTACAGAACCTTCAAAACCAGCTACAACTAAGACCTGAGCAAGTGACAGTTGTTGACTAATCAACACACTGCAGTGTTTCTAGCTCCACCTTTTAGTACCGGATCTGATTGCTAGGCACCCCAGCAGAATAGTGACCAAAAATGGTGACAGTTCTATTGGTACAATCCACAACTTTTCACAATGGAAACTGAAAAATAACAGTTCTAATGTGTACTGAACTAAACTGAACTGAACCGGACTGCTTGCCGGAAACGAGGCTTAAGATATTGTTTATTAACCACTCAGTATATCACTAGTACCCATTAATGCCACTTGTTTAGTAATATACTGTGCGCACAAAACTAAAATGTAGGACAGTGAATTTACAACATTTTGTTTTGATTGTGCCACTGTGTCAAAAAATATAATGCATTTAGAAGTAACATTTTAAAATAACAAAGAACTATATATTTCACTATTGACTTGTTTTTCTCTTATTTCAGAAAGGACATGATGGGGAGTGAAGCTCATGGAATGAATTCTTGTTTCTGAGGCATCTGATATCTGAATAATGGTGTCTCCCTAAGCATGTCAGTTGTTCAGTAGAATAAAGTAATCTGCATCTCAAACTGTGCCTTGGCTTTTTCTGCAACTTCATATTGGTACACTTGAACAAAATCCTACCAGTGATCATTAAGTTAACTGGGGTATTTTGCATGTTTATAAATGCCTTCAAATAGTTAAGTACAGTTACAGTTATGGCTGATGTAGCCATTACTACATAATTAAAATGCAGTATCTATGTCACAATTATAACCTACATGTAAAATATGGGATTGTAGCTGCACATATCATTGCACAACAATTCAAAACAGCATTTTTCGTTAAAATCTGAATCTCTGTCTGCGTGATTGGTTTATCACCATGTGAATTTAAGTTTTTATATTTATACTGTGACATACTGACATACATTCAAGCAGATCAACTAGACTTCTGTATACAGTACACACTCTGCATTATAACCTGGTTGTATCTTCCATAAAACAGTTAATACTTAATGAAAAAAACTTTAATTTGTTAATTTTACCACGCAACAAACAACATGTCTTGGAATCAACAGTTACCAATATCAATTTTTAGTTGCCACCCATCAAGGAGTGATTAGTTATAGATAATTCATACACCACTAATGTAATTTTGTGTTGCACCTTTGACCATATCCAGCAACACTGTTGGGGTAGGGTGGAGGGAAGGGTTCTGTGTGGTCAGAAATATGCTCTGTTTCACACCCAACAGTGCTATCACAGTGTAGGGACACAAATCCTGGAGTGCAGTTCTACATCACTGCAGCAGGTTTAGAGTTAAACCACTAGAGTCCTGCTGGACTTGAATGATCTTTACAAAGCATGATTTCATTGGATGCTGGGCAGTTGATGGGTCTGCCCCCCTAATTTGTTTTGTTGACACAAATAGCCTGCAGATAATAACTGCGATCACTGTGAGAAGGGTTATAAAGGGTTTCAGTTAAGTCGTGATAAAGAGTCATTGTACTAAACAGGAAAATCTTTGTGATTGAACTGTTAATTAAAATAGACTGATTATATCCACAACATAATTCACGTTACCATGAAGTGTTTTTTTAAAAATATCTATCGAGATTATATTTATGGATTTTTCGATACACACAGCATTTTTTGAAAAGGTTTCAATACAAATTTCCTGCAGTATCGTTACACCGGTAACAGCTGAACTTTCTCAAACTTTTTCCCACAGTCATTCTGCTATTCTCTGCTACTAAACAACATTGTCATGTTATAGCCTTGTTACATTTATTTTCTAACTAGAATTACCTCCTTATGGTTGTATGCCAACAACCAAGTCAAGTTGCAGTTTATGTGTCTGTCCAGATTGAGCCATGATAGTAGTCGATGCTTTGAATATAGATGCTGCAAAGAAGCTACAAACTCCAAAACATGGATGATTCCCTCACATCTTCAACATGGCAGCATTCAGCACATGTTCAAGATGAGTGTCTCCAATTCAGTATCTTACCAAATATCTTTCCCTATGTTTTTGAGTTATGACATTGAATAAAGACCAGAAAATATTGTGGTGTCACAGTGAAGTTGATCTTTGACCTTTTGGATATAAATGTCTCCACTTATCTTTTGATTTTTGTCTTAAATTTTTGTCCTAATTAGTGTATGAATTCTTGAGTTATGGCCAAAACAAGTTTTGTGAGATCATAGTGACTTTTGACCATCACAATCTTTCCAAGTGGACAGTTGTGCAAAATTTAAAAAAAAAAAAAAAAAAAAATCCCTCCAGGTCCTCTTGAGAGATTGTGTTTAACAGAGTGACTGAGTTGTGAGGTCACTGTTACCTTGACCTTCAACCACCAAAATCAAATCAATTTATCCTTGAGTCCAAGTGGATATTTGTGCCAAATTTAAGGAAATTCCTTGTCAAAATATAACGTTCATGAGAATGGGATGGACAAACGTATGGACATACAGATGCAAGGACTGACGGACAGACAATCTGAAAACATGCACAGCCATGGCTGTCACCGGCGCAGAGGCATATTAAAAAAATATATTTTATACCCTCAATGTCAATTTGTTACTGTGGTATAAAAATGGTATGGAACATTCATATCTTTTAATGTTTTGTATCAAAGTTAGAAATTCCAGTATTGTGGCAACATTAATGGCAAATAATTATGACCTCTTTATAGAGACAGACCTGTCATTGATAATGATCAGATGTGAAGCAGCAATTCTCTTATATCCTTACCTGTTACACTGAGGTACGCTTGCTGAGGGTGTCTCATTCCTAAGATTTGTGATGTTTCCAAAAAAAGCCTAGAAAGACAAGCAAGAAATGCTAAGGAACTTATCACCAAAGGCACTTCAAACATACAGCATTATTACAAATGAAGCGAAATTTCTACATCAGCAAATTATTCAAATACATTACAAAAAACTTACAAGAATACATCAAAGTATGTTTACTAGCATAAAATACAACATCTCATAGCCTTTAGCTTTTGGTACTATTGCAAAAATACTTAAAATAAGTTGACTACAATCACTACAATGTCACCACATATCCCCACGACAAGGGTCATCATGGAAAGGAACGCTTTTATCTATATTTATCTTTCAAAACAACATTACTCGAATTACACATATTGCAGTAAGATTTTATGAAAAATTTTACATTTATTGTGCATAAATTATAGATTGGGCATATGTCATATTTCACTTGATGAACAACACAATTATCATATAATTCAAATCCTACCTTTTTACCCTGTGTCTCTGTTATGTGCCATGTTCAGTCTTCATCAGAAGAACAACTTCTAAATCTATAGTCTTCCAGATCTGTGCACAAATGCACCAGCCACAAACTTCATTGTCTGAATGGAGGCAAGCATAAAGGGTAAGACAAGAGAAGGACACATGGAGGCAGGGTCCAATACTCAACACCTCCTCAAGTGACTCTCAATGAATAACAAGCATTCTAACAATAGCAACCTCATCTAAAACCACAGTTGGCTCAGATTTCAAACTTAAGAGAGACAAGGTGCCTCACACCTTCCCTTGTGTGTACATGTGATTGCAGAAGTTGGAGGTACAAGGACTGTGGACAGCTGGGAATGGGACCTTTGACAGAGGGCTGAGTGCTCTTAGCCTGGAATAGATTTACGCTAAGTAAAGGAGGTCAGAATTCCGGTATAAAGGGAAAGACATTTTCAACAGTGTATGGAGGACGTTCTGAATGACCTCCTATTGTTACCTTGGCTAAGCAACGTTTATTGATAAGGTTTTGGTATATCAGGGTCTGCTGTATAACATCCTTTCGAAACGCTATCATGGAAGTCATCGCGTAAACTTAAATGCAAGTTCCTGTTCAACAGTTACCTATTGTAGTTCTTGTGTTACTTCTCAAGTGAAGGCAAGTCATTTTTCTTTACATAGCCCAATATCAAAAATCATAAATCTGCCTCTAGGGGTTTCATGATGTGTACAATACAAGTCACCTTCTGTTATTAGATCCTCAATTCAGATAAGGGAGAAAACTTAAACAAGGTCAAAGTGAGAGAAAGCTTAGGAAGAACAACTGAGGAAGTTAGGATGGAAAAATCAAGAACTCAGGTATGCGCTCCATTTGTTCGATGGATTACCATTCAGCCCTATAACAACCTGCAATCTTCTTCTTATCATATCTCTACTACCTGAACTCACTGGTGAACTTAACTGTGGTCCAGCAGGAGTTGCTGTCAGAGGCTGTTTATTGTAGTTACATAAATGGAGACCTTGGTTGAGCAATCTGCCTATAAGTAAAACAACAGATGCACCAACAGATGGACTGAACAAGCTGAAACAGAATATAGCCTCCCTGTACAATTGTAAGTCTCAGATATTTATTAAGGGCAACTAGATTTCAACCAATATTGCTTTTGTTCTATGAAAGGTTTGTGGCACTTAGCTCTAGAGGAGTAAACTAGTCTGGAGAAAACACCTCTGCTGTGTATTATACGGTATTCCTACTGGCTCACTGACTCCATCTGAAACCATAATCATGTGTTCTTTTATACATAAGTATGCATTCAGGTGCCAGTAAGTGTGTAGTGTGTGTAAATATGTTTCTTGGAAGTGTACCAGTATGTATGCCCCTATCTAAAAATGCCATAAGCATTATTTGACCACCGGCTTTGAGAATTCTGAAACCTCACTTGCTTTCAATTGTTGTTAAGTGCTGTTACCCCCCAGTGCTAAGACTGCATAGTCTAAACTGTATACTGTGGTATGAAAGGTGCAGTTCTACCAATCAGACACATTGTGCTTATCACTGTGGTTTTAACTGCTCCAAATGTGCATAATTGACAGTGAGTGCAATGTTTGATAGCAGAGTTAACTTTGCTTGTCATTCTTAAAACTGATACAAAAACAGAAAAGCATTGTACAACTGTGAGTTTTGTATTAAAAATATGTGTGTGCATACATGAATTATGTTACTTGTTTTGAGACTGGAAGCATACTATGTGGACTGAATTTCTTTCCCATCAGAAGATACTGAGTGTTACATCAGAGCTGTTTGCACTGTGTGTCCTTCTGGATGCACTTTCTGTAATTTAGTGGAGAAAATGTAATCTTGATTTATATGCAGAATCTGTAGGCAACAATAGAAGACGGTATCTGAAGCGTTCTGGTTTTCATTTGTTGTAAGAGTAGACCAATAGTTGACCAATCACTTCTAAGCAGGCAGTCCATGTGGAGAGCAAAAGAGGCAGAACGCATTAGACGAAAAGCAATCTTGGGACCCATGGGCTATTGTCTGACAACAATTTAGATATTTATTAGCTTTTTTCCAACTTATCTGCATTCATAAGCAAAACCTGTTTATACAGATTAACATAAATGTTGTCCAGACCCGACTCGAGTTGCTAATCAAAGTGTAAATAATGAGAAGTACATGAAAGGGGTTTTAGCCTGGATATCTACTGGGTACAACAGATCTCAGATAACGGCCGTTGCTCCAAGAAGCTTTATTGTTGTCAGACAATAGACAAAAGGTTCCAAGATTAGACAAATGTAATGTTTACTTACAGACTCTGGGCTGTTATACTTCAGGTGTACCTCCCTGTGGCAGAAGTGGGAAGGTCACTGTCCATGGTACTAACCTTCCTCCCTCCTTCCCTGTTGCTGAAAAAACCCAAACCAACCAAAATCAAAATCAAAAATACAATATTGGATACAGTGTTTTACCCTACCTAAAAAAGCAACAATTAATTTTAATTAATCCAGTCAACCTTAGGAGAAACAGAAACAGAGTTTGATCTAGTTTACATCCCAGTATCTCAGATGGTGGGTGTCCCAGAGTAAAAGACATTTTGTTGGGCTTAGCACCTCACAGATGTAAATGAGCACAGATATTTCCTATTACAATATATACTATTCTTAACAGGATGTTATTGGAATAAGGATATCTGAATAAGTTTCACATAAAACTCATATAACTTTATTCATATAAAAGTTTTCTTAAGGCTTCACTTGTGAGTCTGTTCTGTTGTTTCTTGATTCAGATGGCTGTACAGTAAATTGTTGGCTGTCTATTGCTTAATCACCTGTTGCTGCTCCTCTCCGTGTAAAGACTTCACTCCTCTGCCATGCGTCATAATCTTCCCTCAGGCTGTCCACTAAATCATCAGTCCGTGAAGGCAGCCAGCAGGAATTTCACAGGTTATCTTTATGCTCAAGGATACAATGCCTTGCTAGATGGCAAGGACAAGGGTAGAAGCAAGGGTACCAACCCATTTTAAACATGGTGGTATGATCTTGATATCACAACTTACCTAATTTGACTACTATATGCAACTAATGAAACAAAGTATATGTTTGTAAAATTATGTTGCCACTGAGATTGAAAAACCATCGTGTTTGTAGACTTTACATAGGCTGTTTTTGAAATTCAAAAGATTCAGCTCAGTTAACCTAAACAAAAGGTCTCCGTGCAGAAACTGTACAAATACCTAAACAACAAAATACCTAAGTTTATTTCATATGGTTATCTTTTTTACACCTTGCTTTTGCAGCAGACACCCCACTGATTCAGTAGTGCTGTCGCTTTTCAGGGAATAATGGTCAAAACAAGTCATTTTAGGGTAGGATTAAAAAGCATTAAATTAGTCACTGTATTTGACAAAAAATCGTTAATTGAGCTAAGTCTTACATGAAAACGATCATGTAAGGGGCGTCGGTGGCTTAAAAAAAAAAAAAATCTTTAAAAAAAAAAGAAAATGATCATGTAAATAAGAATGGTGTACAAATTGTAGCATGTGACTTAATGGTATTAGAAAGCTAAATCAAATCATGCAAAGAGGGTAATATTATCCCCCAAATAACATCTTAAGCCCCTAGGGATGTAACGATACCAGAAACTCATGATACGATATATATCACGATATTTATACAAGGGGAAAAAAAGAGAAAATTTATTGTTAAAATTAGCTATTTTATTCAACAATAGTGCATGTACACTGTACAGCATGTTATTTTTATCTTGGAAGCGTATCATAAACAAATCAACACACAGTTGAACATGTGCTTTCATTTCCCCCCATTACTGCCCCCCATTAGGCAGGCAGACATTAAAGTGCCATAACAAAGTCATGTCAATTAAAACTATAGGGACAGAATATGAAAATGGAAACATTCAGTATTTTTTAACCTACTCTGAACAAAAGTAGTGTAATACTATTACTAGAAAGTCATCTGAATGACATCAAATTGTGAGGATAGAGTAGTCTTAATATTCATCAAATTTACAGAACTTAGAACAATCAGACCCTGCAACAACAACAAAATTAACAAATTAGAAATAATGTAAACTCAATAACAAACAATCCCTCACTCACAGATACACAGAGAGACAGAGAGAGAGAGAGAGAGAGAGAGAGAGATGTGTGTAAAAGAAAACCAAAATAAATAAAGCCCAGCCATTTCCCTGAAGTCATAGAAAAACTCAAAAACACACATTCACTCAGTTTGTTCACGCCAGGTTGACAATCTTGACATCAAGAAGACCCTAGAACAGGAGATGCGCTTTCATGTGATATGCGTGGCATTTCTGTGCGACCCTGCATTCGTGAGTAATCCATCCAAAAGTAATGTGTGTGCAGAGCTGTATGAAAGCTTTGTTATACATTATTTTAGTGTAACTTTATCATTTTTTTTCATTGTGAAAACATTGGACTACCGACAAGTGCTTGGTCTTGTCGGAAAGCCACGATTCCACTGTTTTACGTGATATGCGTGGCTTCTGTCGGTCACGGAGAAAATCAATAGAGAAGAACAGTCAATCTCCTTACTTTTATTCGCTGTTTCCTCCGGTCACGCACGGGTCAGAGTCAAAGGCTGAGAGGCTGAGCTGCACTAGTCTGCTTTCACCTGCGTGCGCAGTTGCATGCAAAGGATTATGGGGAATGTAGTCACACAGTCATATTACCGGCTCTGTAGGAGAACGCAGCTATATAACTACCGTGGCACTCCCACGATGGTATTGAGAATTTATTTTATCGCGACACCGCGAAATTCGACATATCGTTACATGCCTATAAGCCCCACATATCTCACATAACAAACCACATAGATATATAATTGGCCTGTGATGAACAGTTTATATTCAGCATCCAAAAGCACATTCAAAATTGCATTATAGTTGAGCTGCAGCCATTCTAAATTTGCACACTGCTGAACTTTTATTGTTAAACTGTATGAAAACCACCTTTTAGACATTGCAGTTTCACATGCTGACAATAGGCTGCATATAGTAATGCCAATGTGAATATGGTTAAGTTTTGGTGAACTGATTTTGAAAATGTTTGCTAGTCTGAGAAATTTCAGAC